GGCGCGACAACCGCAAGTCGTCCAGCACCTTCTGGAGCAGCAGTTGTAGCAACACGTTCAGCTGCAGGCAGCCCCCCCGCAGCAGAAACACCACCCGCACCTGCAGCCGCCTCTGCAGACCCTGGCAGCAGCAGCCCCTACAGTGGCGGCCACTGTGTTGGGTGGTATCCCCGCTCGTTGGGCGGACTGCCCGCTGAGGATGCCTCCTGCTGCAGCGGTGGTGGCAATTGAACGCGTCCGCCCCTTTCCGCGAAACCTGGGTTCCCAGCGACACCCGTGCCCCCCCCGTTGGTGCCAGGGCCAAGCATGCCGCCAACGGACAGCCCCCCGCCCCTCCCGCAGCCGGGGACCGCTGCTGAAGTCTTCTTGGGCGCCTGGCACCGCGGTGCGCTTTCACCAGGCACGGAGCAGCCCAGGGACGCCGCCTCGTTGCACTTGGTGGGCTTCGTGGGGGGGCGTGGCGCCGAAATGGTTAGGCGGGAGAAGGCTCTTGCCGCCGTGGCCGAAGAGGCCAGGCTAGCGCGAAGGGGCCGCGGGGCCCCGCTGGCACCAGCGGGGGCTGGGCAGACACAGCGGACGAGGCGCTTGACGCGGCTGCTGTTCCGACGGCGCCCTCACCTCTGAGTATCTTTTAACTGTTCCCCATCCCCAGCGGCGTGGCCTGGGCCCCACTGGCCGATTTACCCCCCTAGATGGGGATGTAGGTCGCTCCCTTCGGGTTTCGAGGGGTGTATCCCCAACTGGGGTGGTAGTTTGGTGGGGGTCTCGAAGGGGATGTGGTTGGGGATGGGGATTGGTTCAACGATACCGAACCTCGGATCTGGTGGAACGGGCGCGCTCGCTTCTGGACGAGATCGAACAGGACGCTGCCGCGCCAGCCGCGGCGTGCGACGCCATCCAGGAGACGATCTGCCAGTTCCGCGCGGCCTCGGCGCGCGCAGGCGCGCCGGTGCTGGCAGCAGGCCCGCCCTGCGGGGCCACCGCCAGAGGCTCTCAGCGGCGGCGCAGCAAGATTTCCAGAAGCTCCTCAACAGAGCGCAGTCTGCGGCGGAAGCGCCCGGCCAGGGCGTCGCGCCACGCATCGAGGTGGAGTTCAAGCGGGCCATCACTTCGATGCGGGAGTTGGCGGAGCGGCTGTCTGACTTCGGCGGCATCCCAGTGCGGTGCCAGCCATTGGAGGAGGCAGCTGGGCGCGGATTCCGGAAGCCAGCGCCGTCTGAGTGGACCGCGACGGCAGGCGGGGACATGCGGCTTTCGGTATTGAAGCTCAGGGTGCCGTCCAGGGCGTCCATGCGTAACGTCACGTCCGTGAGCCTGCAGGTGCGCACGGAGACTGGGATCCTCGTGTGCAAAGGCATCCACCAGAACTTCGCAGAGTACCTGGACAACTGGATCGCGGCCTTCGGGGCAGTAGCACGTGCGACGTGCCCGGATGCGCCCAAGGGAACTGATTCTCTTCAGGGGTTCCTGGCCAAGCGGCCAGCCGGCTCCATGAGCCGCGAGGTTTCGGCGGTCCAGCGCAGTCTGCCCCCCTCTGCTCGTCGGCCCTCTTTCCCTCTCCCCACTCCCCCTCGCCCTCCGCACGACGGCGCCGCACTGCTGGCCCAGGCCAGGGGGACTGGCAGGCACCCCCAGAGGCCAGGGCAGCTGGAGAAGAGCTCCGAGGTAAACTTGCAGAAACAAGAAGCGCTTGGCGCACAGTGCCCGCAATGCCGACTCGCTGGCGTGACCCCCCCCCCCCCGTGGGGCCCAGTTCGGCTCGGCTCTGGCCGCCGCGGGCCCGGCCTCGAGAGACTCATATGGCTGTATCCTGTCCTCTGCCGTGCCCCCTGCCTTACTTTCTACGCCCAGCCCGGCCGCGCACACGAGGCGACGAGCAAATGTCACACATTTCGCTCCGGGGATGGGCTGGCGCCTGGGCGTATCGCGGGCTGTCGTTGCCAGTTGCTCTCTGCTGGGCGTCGCGTGCCGCTTTGGGGGGTGCGTGGCCGTCGGTTTTGGACCCCCTCGGGCCGCCCCCCCCCCTCAGGCGCCTTCCCGCCCTCTGGGGCGACCCCGCAGAGGCGGTGACCGTGAATGTGCGGGGATGGGGGGGGGCGGCGGGGTTGACCACCGCTCCCGCTCTCTTCGCCTCGCCCCTCTTCGCCTTCCTCCTCCCCCTCCTCCTCCTCCTCCTCCGCCTCCTCCTCCTCCTCCTCCTCCTCCTCCTCCTCCTCCTCCTCCCTCCTCCTCCTCCTCCTCCTTTTTTTTTTTCTCCTCCTCCTCCTCCTCCTCCTCCTCCCCCTCCGCCTCCTCCTCCTCCTCCTCCTCCGCCTCCTCCTCCCACCTCCCGGGGCCCCAATCGGCGCGCCGCGTCCCGCGGCCCTGACGGCGGGAAACGGCCCTGCCGGGCCTGAGGAAGTACCTATACTGTGGGCCCCTGGGCGCTGCGTGCCCCTCGGCTGCTGGAGACGGGGTCGGCCACCGCCCCCGCCTCCTTCGCTGCGTCCCTCCCCCCCTCCCCTACCCCGCTTCTGCCGTTGCCGTTTCAGCGAGAGTGCCTACCCAGCACGCGGCCCGGCGTGGCCGACGTGGCGCCGCGCCTCGTGCGGAGGAGCTGCTCCCTTGGGGCTCGCCGGCGGCGGCCGCGGAGGCAGGCCGCCAAGTCGCGCAACTGGCTGAGGCTGACCTGCCTGGGCCCTCCCAGTCCCTGCCGCGGTGGGCTGCTCTCTGCCCGAGGCGCGATGCGCGCGCTGCTGGCGCACCGCCTGCCCCCCCATGGGCTCGGGGAAGTGCCTCCTGGCCAGGAGGGGTTCGAGGACCTCGGGGGGATCTCCTGGCCCGGGCCAGTCGAAGTTTGCAGGCTCCTGCAGGGCCCTGCGCCCAAGGCCGGGCCAGTGCACCACTGGCCCTGCAGGATCCTGCAGGATTTTCGGCGCTCTGGCCTGCGGGATCCTGCGCTCAAGCCCGGGCCAATGCCCCCCCCCTGGCTCTGCAGGAACCTGCAGGATCCGGCGCTCTGGCTGGCCCCCGCTTGCACGGACCTCCGCCTCTTGAAGCCCTCAGGAGTCCGACGCCCCGCTCCTGGCGGCCCCCGCTGGCGCGCGGAGACTCACGCCCGCAGGCTGGCCCAGCGCATTATTCTGGCCCATTATCTGTGAAGGTCTGGCAATTTTCCAAACGAATGTGCGCGGCGCGAAAGCGATAACCACATTTTGAAATCGATCCGCCCTCAATCCGAGAAGCTCTTGCAATGTGTTCAAACAAATGTACGCGGCGCGAAAAATACAACCACATTTTGAAAACGATCCGCCCTCAATCCGTGAAGCTCTTGCAATGTGTTCACACGAATGTGCGCGGCGCTAAGACGAAAACCACATTTTGAAAACGACCCGCCCTCCATCTGTGAAGCTGTCGCCAAGTTTTAAGCATCAGGGTTATCAGCAGTGAGGCAACCTCTCGCGAAACGCCCACCCCTCCCTCTCGACCGGCCTCGGGGTGCGACAGGGAGGAGTTATCTATAAGGAATGGAGGAGGAGGAGAAGGAGGTGGAGGAGGACGAAGACGAGAAGGCTCGGAGGAGAAGGAAGGATGGGAGAGGAGAGGTGTGGCAGGCGCACGAGGACACGATTACTGCCGTCGCGCTGGCAGGAGGCGCGGCCACTATGGAGCACTCCGCTGCTCGCTGCCTAGTCAGTCGAGGTCAAGATCTCGAAGCCGTCGCTCGTTGAACACATGGCTGGGTGAACTGGCCGTGGACACAGCTCGTGTGTAGAGGCGATGCCGATGGGAAGGCTTCGGGTTGCGCACAGATCGCTCCCCAGCTGGCCCCAACAAACCCCCACAAGGAGTCCAGGCCGCCGCCTATGGCGGCGCACACGGGGCGCTCCGCGCCCCAAGCTTTGGGTGTTGAGACCGCCCCAGGCTACCAAGAGGCCTTTTGAGGCCAGCAGGGGCCACCAGGATGGGGCTGCCTGTGCGCAACCCGAAGCCTTCCCAAATGCCGAGGTAGAGCTTGCGCAGGGGGGGCGTCCCGTGGTGTGATAGATCGCAGCGGTTGGAGCTGGGGGTAATGTCAAACCTTCTCGCTGGGCGAGGCAAGGGCGATTGCAGACAGGTCCAGGTCAAGTTACCTTGGCTGAGCTCGCGCCAGCTTGACTTTCATGAGCACTGCTGCTGCTGCTGCTTCTCTTCCTGCTCGTCTGCCTCTTCACCTGGATTCCTTTTCCTCCTCTTCCTTCTTGTCCTTTCACAGTCCCAAGTGTCCAGCGGATCGATAGTGCCGCCCTCAGCGATGGCCTTCGGAAAGACAATGACAATGGCAACGTCCTGGTCGTCGATACTCACCTTGATCTGTCCATGCCCCGCTGACTGCCACTTTGGGGCATCTCGAGGCCCCCGCTCATACGAGGCATCTCGGGGCATCTCGAGGCATCTCGGTGCCTCGGGACTCTGTTTTGGGCTGTCTTGAGACCCTTCAAGAAAAGCTCCAAGACGATGCTGCACACGATTCCTTCCCAACACCAACTCCACAAAGATACCATTCATTCATCACCGAATTGGTGTTGAAATATTGCCTCCCTCTAGACACAGCTGCTATTTTCCGGTTCCGAGCATACGTTTGTTCCCTCTTTCGTCAATCTTCGGCCTCATCATCATCATCATCAGCATCATCATCATCATCATCATCATCATCACCATCACCATCACCATCACCATCACCATCATCATCATCATCATCATCATCATCATCATCATCATCATCATCATCATCATCATCATCATCATCACCATTCTCATCATCATCAGCGTCATGATCATCATCATCATCACCAGCAGCTAATCACCAGTATCACCACGACCATCATCATCATCATCATCATCATCATCACCATCACCATCACCATCACCATCACCATCACCATCACCATCACCATCACCATCACCATCTCCATCATCAGCATCAGCATCGCCCCCACCATCTTCATCAGCATCACCAGCATCCTCATCCTCATCCTCATCCTCCTCCTCATCTCCATCTTTATTCTCATCCTCATCCTTATATGCATCCTCATCCCAATCCTCGTCATCATCCTAATTCCCACCCTCATCACCAGTCATACCCCCCTCCTCCTCCTCCTCCTCCTCCTCCTCCTCCTCGTCATCATCATCGCCAATACCATCGTCATCGTCATCGCCACCATCATCATCACCATCTCCATCATCAGCATCAGCATCGCCGCCACCATCTTCACCAGCATTACCAGCATCCTCATCCCCATTCACATCCTCATCCACATCCTCATCACCATCCACTTACACTCATGTATGCATATATGTATGCAGGTAGGTCGGTAGATAGGTAGGTAGGTGGGTAGGTGGGCATGTATGGTGTATGTTGTATGTATGGGTGTATGGGTGTATGGGTGTATGGGTGTTATGTATGTATGTACGTACGTGCTACGTACGTACGTACGTACGTACGTATGTATGTATGTATGTATTTGTATTGGTATTTGTATTTATATTTATATTTATATTTGTTTGCATGTGTGTGTAACCACCTGTGCACACATACACAAACCGCCACCGTGCTTGCACGGAGTGGGCGTGTTAGAGTGCTTGGTGCTGTCTGGGAAGTGACGACATTTTTTTAGGGCAGACCCAGCACCCCCCCCAGACATGCGCGGGCTGCAGACCAGACCCTCTGAAAACAGCCCTCTGGCGCTCTGTTCTGCCTCCAAATAAGCAAGATGACCTCCAAGACGGATTCCAAAGCAATTGGCACCAAGACGGCCCAAGAGGCCCCCACGACGGCCTCAAGACAGCTCAAGAGGCCCCCAAGACAGTCCAAGAGGGGTCTAATGTGCCCTCAACGAGAGCCCGAGGTAGCAAACACCATTGATTTTTCCATTTGTGTTCCTTGAGCTTGTTTGAGGAGTGTGGGGTTCTCGCCTGCTTGGGCTTCCTACCGCCCAAGACGGCCCAGGAGGCCTCCAAGATAGCTCCAAAGCAGACTCTGAGACCCCCAATACGGCCCTCCCCAATGCAGACCATTCACTGAACTGCTGTGGGGCGTGAACTCGACCTCCTTCCTACCGCGCGGGCAAAGACGCGGTCGAATCCACGACCCGTCTTACCATGCCACTTGTCGGAATTGCACTGCTCCTGAACTCAGCCTCATCCCTGCAACGCTGTTGCACAAGCACGGTGGCGGGGGTTGCCGCAGGCGGCTGGATCAATCGATTACTTATCTTTTCAATCTTCTGCGCGCGCAACCCGAAGGTATATTGCGCCGTGCGATCCGCACCATAACCATAAGAATTTGTTCCCGATGGCGCGCGGTCGCCTAATTGGTGGCGTCGTGACGCCTGTGACGCTAGACGCGCTATCCGTTATGCTATTCTTCTTTACTTACGTTTCTCTTCTGATTGAATATGTTATGCTGTGATCATCTCTGCCACCGTATACTTTGAGATGGTATGGTGTGATCTGCTCTGTGACACAATGTTATGCTATGATACGTTCCGCCAACTTATGTTATATTATGTTTTGTTCCGTGATGCTGTTGCCAGCCCGGCTCATATAATCCATTATGATAATGTGGGTCGCTGTGCTTTGCTGCCGTGTTGTGATATGTTATGTGATGCTGTCATGGTGTGATCTGGTATGTTCTGTCATGGTGTGGTGTGTTAAGCTTGGTTGTGTTCTGCTATGCTGTTTTATGTAGTGTTCTGTTATGTCAAGTTCTGCTCTGTTATGTTATGTGATGTGCTCTGTATAGCATATTCTGATCTGCTCTGCTATTACATGTCGCTATGATCTGCTGTTGTGCTATGATATGTTCTGTGACGCTGTGTCATGGTATGATCTGTTATGTCACCGTGTGTTATGATATGCTCGGTTATGTTCTGCTATGTTGTCTTCTGTCGTCTTCGGTTCTGTCATGTTCTGCTCTGGTACGTAGCTTGATGTTCTATTATGCCCTGGTTTGTCATGACATTGCTATGTTCTGCTCTGTCACGTTTCGTCATGCTCGTGTTCTGTCCTGTCATGTTCTGTTGTGCCATGTTGTGTTCTGTCTTGTTCAACGTCGCTATGCTTCGTTGTCGCGTTATGGTATTTTCTGTGATGCTGTGCCATGAGATGATCTGTTCTGTCGAGGTGTGTCATGTTATGCTCGGTTCTGTTCTGTTATGTTGTATTCTGCCGTCTTCTGTTCTGTCATGTTCTGCCCTGGTATGTTCTGTGCTGTTCTGTTTGTTGACGGCCCCGCTCTGTAGAGTAAATCGTGATATGATCTGCTAGTTTGTGTCGCTATGCTCTGCTGTCATGGTGTGATATGTTCGATGATGCTTTGTCATGGCACGATGTGTTCTGTCACATTGTGTTGTTTTATGCTCGGTTCTGGTATGTTATGTTGTGCTCTGTCGTCTTCTGTCCTGCCATGTTCTGCTCTGGTATGTTCTGTGATGTTATGTTATGCTCTGCTTTGTCATGGCATTGCTATTGTCTGTTCTGTATGTTTTGTCATGCTCGTGTTATGTTATGTCATGTTCTGTTGTGCCAATTTGTGCTTTGTCGTGTTCGACGTCGCTGTGCTCTGCTATCCTGTTATAATATGTTCCGTGATGCTGTACCATGAAATGGTCTGTTCAGTCAAGGTGTGTCATGTTATGCTTGGTTCTGTTATGTTATGTTGTGTTATGTCTCTTTCTGTTCTGTCATGTTCTGCTCTGGTATGTTATGTGATGTTCTGTTATGCGCTGTTTTGTCATGGCATTGGTATGTTCTGTTCTGTCATGTTCTGTCATGCTCGTGCTCTGTTCTGTTCTGTCATGTTCTGTTGTGCCATGCTGTGCTCTGTCGTGTTCGTCGTCGCTATGCTCTGCTGTCGTATTCTGGTATTTTCTGTGATGCTGTGTCATGATAGGATCTGTTCAGTCAAGGTGTGTCATGTTATGCTCGATTATGTTCTGTCATATCGTGATCTGTTGTCTTCTGTTATGCCCATGTTCTGTGATGTTCTGTCATGCTCTAGTTCGCCATGATATTGGCATGCTCGGTTCTGTCAATGTTCTGTCACGCTCTGCTCTGTCTTGTCATGCTCTGTTCTGTCATGTTGTGTTCTGTCGTGTTCGTCGAGGGCGCGAGGCGGGACACCCGGGACTCTGGGGGATCATCGGGACAACTTGGGGCCTGGCGGCCGCGGTATGCAGGGTGGGGTTGGCCGGTTGCGAGGCGGGATCCTCGGGACCATCGGGGCAACTTTGGGTCTGGTTGCCGCGGTGCGCAGGGTGAGGTTGGCCGGGGGGCCTGCTCTTGAAATCTGACATCCTGTCGGGTGTGGAACAGAGAAGGGCAGGCTGAGGCAAGGACGAGGAGGCGGGGCGGAGGGCGGATACGGCGCGACTTCGGGACGCCTGCCGCGTTCGACGCGTCATCGAATCGGTCATTGCTGCGCCTGTTTGTCCCTGTGGTGGGCCTGACGACGGGGCGGCGCCGTGCAGCGGTGGCTACTGTATGCGTGATGTTGTGCTGTGGTGTGTTTCGTTGAATTCTGCTTCGATGTAGTATGTGACGCTGTGCTCTGTTATGTTCTGACCTCGACGGGCCAGCGCCACGTCGTGACGCCTGGGCGACGCCGTGGAATGGTGGCTACTGTATACAGGATGTTGCGCTATAGCGCGTTTGATTAGAATCTGCCGCAATGCAATATGTGATACAATGCTCTGTCAAGCTATATTATAATATGCTCTGTTCCATGATGCTGTTGACGGCTTTGCACAGTATGTAATAGTCTGATCTGCCCTTGTAGTATCTTCTGCCATGTCCAGTTCTGTTGTGATACTCCTCTCCACTACTGCCGTTGCTGTATCCAAAAATGTTCGACAATGTCCAAATAGTAACGGTCTATCATGCTATGTTCTGTTATGTCCGGTTGTGTCCTCGACGGGCCAGCGTGACGTCGTGACGCCTGGGCGACGCCGTGGAGTGGTGGCTACTGTATGGGCGATGTTGTGCTAGTGGGTATTTGGTTGGACCCTGCCCCGATGTAATATGTGATGCTGTGTTCTGTGATGTTGTGATCTCGACGGGCCAGCGTGACGTCGCGACGCCTATCACATCCACGTAGCTCCATGTAGTAAAGTTCGACCATGTGATGCTCTATTGTGTTCTGTCATGTTCTCGACGGGCCGGCGTGACGTCTTGACGCCTGGGCGACGCCGTGGAGTGATGTTGTGCTATAGTGTGTGTGTGGTAGGATTCTGCCCCAATGCATTCTGTGACACTGTGTTATGTGATTTTTTGATATCGACGAGCCGGCGTGACGTCGTGACGCTTGTCACGATATATGCATCGTCGAATCGCTCATTGCTGTGACTGTTGGCTCCTGTGGCCAAACTGACCAACATGTACGTACGGTACGTTATGTTATGATGTCCCTCTGCCCTTTCGTTATCCTTTCTGTTAGAATATGCTCTGCCATGCTCGCTTCTGCGACCACAAGATGCGTTGGTATGCTATGCTATGCTCTGCTCTGTGGCACCATGTTAGGACATGATCTGTTCTACCGCATTATGTTATAGTATGCTCTGTTCAGTGATACTGTTGATGGCCCAGCTCAGTATAGTATAGTAAAATCTGTTTTTTAATCTGTTGTGCTGTCTGGTTCTGTCGTGATGCTCCTTCTACAACTGCACAACTGCCAGAAGGTTCAACCGTGTTCGATTTAGTCACGTTCTTTCATGTCATGCTTTAGTATGTCCTGTTGTGTTTTCGACGGGACGGCGTGACGTCGTGACGCCTGCGACATTAGATGCGTCGTCTGTTATGATGTTGCTCTTCACTTATCTGTTTCTCTTCTGATAGCGTATGTTATGTTATGATCATCTCTGTCACCATATGCTTTGAGATGTTATGGCATGGTCTGCTCTGCGGCACTATGTTATGACATGGTACATTCAATCAAATAATGTTTTACTATGCTCTATTCCGTGATGCTGTTGACAACTCGGCTCTGTATAGTATGTCATGTTCCGTGATGCTGTTGACAGCTCGGCTTACTATTATTATCAAGGTGTATCATGTGATGCTCGGTTCTGTTTTGTTATGTTTCGTTATGGCATCTTCTGTTCTGTCATGTTCTTCTCTGGCATGTTCGGTGATGTTCTGCTTGTTGACGGCTCAACTCTGTATAGTATAATATGGTACGCGCTGTTCGTATGTGTCGCTGTGCTCAGCTGTCGTGTCATGGTATGGTCTGTGATGCTGTGCCATGGTATGACGTATTTTGTCAAGGTGTGATCTGTTGTGTTCGGTTGTGTTGAGTTGTGTTCTGTTCTGCCATGCTCTGCTATGGTATGACCTGTGATGTTCTGTTACACAGCATGTTGGCATGGCATTGCTTTGCACTGTTCAGTGTTCTGTTCTGTTGTGCCATGTTTTGTTATTTTGTGTTCGCCATCGCTATGCTCTGCTGTCTTTTTTTATGGGATGTTCTGTGATTCGGTGTCATGATATGGTCTGTTATGTCAAGCAAGGTGTAGTATGTTAGGCTCGGTTCTGTTATCTTATGGTGTGTTCTGTCGTCTTCTGTTCTGCCATGTTCTGCTCTGGTATGTTCTGTGTGGTTCTGCCTGTTGACGGCTCGGCCCTGTACATTAACATATGCTATGCTCTGCTAGTCTGTGTCGCTACACTCTGCTGTAGTGCAATGGTATGATCTGTGATGCTGCGCCATGCTATGATATGTTCAGTCAAGGTGTGTTATGCTTTGATCGGTTATGTTGTGTCATTTTGTGTTCTGTCGTCTTCTGTCCTGTCATGCTCTGCCCTGGTATGGTATGTGATGTTCTGTTATGTTCTGCTTTGTCTTGGCATTACGTTGTTCAGATCTGTCATTTTCTATCATGATCGTGTTATGTTCTGGCGTGTTGTGTTATGCCATGTTGTGCTCTGTCGTGTTTGTCGTCGCTAAGCTCTGCTGTCGTGTTGTGGTATGTTATGTGATGCTGTGTCATGATATGATATGTTCTGTCAAACTGTGTTATGCTATGATCGGTTCTGTTATGTGTTCTGTGCGCGCACGCCGAGCCTGAACTGCATCGTCCGTTGGCTGTGCCCGCCAGCCGTCTCCACAGGCAGGCGGCCATCTCCTGAGGCCGAAGAGTCAACGGCCAGACCTGCCGTCCTGCCTTTTCTCACTTTCTCTTCCACCCCACCCCACCACAGGTGTCACGCCGTTCCACTGGATGGGGCCGTTGAAAAGGTAGTCGACGCCTGCGCGCCGTGCTATGCCTTGGCCTTTTTTGGTGCTTGTCACGGGCTGCCTCGAATTAGTTCCTCGTGTACTGTATTTGACTCTTTGGGACCTGGCTGATTGGGCGATTCGAGAGGTCGCTACCTCCCTGGCATCCCGCACGACAGCGAGGCAGGCGTAGACAGGCAGCTCCATGTTTCCCTCGCTCGCGTGGCTAACTCGAGAGCCTGTTGTGTGGCGTACACGCTGGGCTGCCCAGTCGACTCTAACGCGCGCGGCTGTGCAATGTCTCGCCGTCTTGCGTGACTCCGTGATTCTCAAACGGTGCAGCGCCCTGTGCGGTGACGCCCACGCACACAAACTGCGGGACTGCTTCGTTCACCAGCCACGAGGTGCCTCAACGCAAGCCACGTGCCAGACTGCCCTCGGCCTGCTCGGCTCGTCCTCGTCGTCGTCGTCCTCCTCCTCCTCCTCCTCCGCCTCCCTCTCGCCCTCCTCCTCCTCGTCCTCCTCGTCCTCGTCCTCCTCGTCCTCCTCGTCATCATCTTCCTCCTCCTCCTCCTCCTCCTCCTCCTCCTCCTCGTGCCAACGGTTGAGCTCCCGCTTTCTGATGTTGGCTCTGTGGTGTCTCGCTGCCGCAAGGATAAGCGGGGGCCCGTGCGCCCCCGTTAGTAAGACATTTGGTGTCAGCATCGTGCGCCCCGCACCCACCCCTTCCCTTCCTCTCTCCATCCCATTCTCCCTCTCTCCCCCTCTCCGTCCCTGTCTATGTCTCTCTACAGCTCTTCCACTCTCTGTCTCTCAGCCTCTCGGTCTCTCGGTCTCTCTGTCTCTCGGTCTTTCTGTGTCTCTGTCTCTCTGTCTCTCTCTCTCTCCCTCTCTCTCCCTCTCTCTATATCCTTCCCTCCATCTCTGTCTCGCTCCCTCCTTCCCTCTCTCTCTCTCTCTCTTTCGCTGTCAGTCTCTCTCTCTCTCTCTCTCGTTCTCTTCTCTACCCTCCCCTTCTCTCCCTCCCTCGCCGTATTGCTCTCTTCCTTGCCCTCCCCCGTCGTCCAGGTGGGCACCTTCTTGTCGTCCAACAAAACCAGCTCGCCCCACCTGCCACTGAGCGAGGACTGCTCGCTATCTCCGGAAAGACCGCGCTCTTCGGCAGGTACGCACGACAATGACCTGAGGTGCGCATCGACGTAGCAAACGACAAATAATTCCATGCAGCTCATGCAAGGAACCTGTAGGTATGCACGTGTGTATGTGTGCAACATCTGTCCCTATGTATACACACCGTAGAAAGAGATCTGGTAGCCAACGTGGGCCCCACAGCGTACGTTTCTAGCAGCCTAGGTTGTGCAATCTATGTTGTGCAACGTATGTGGTGCAATCTATGCGTACAATCAAGGTAATTCGGTCTACTTGATGCGATCTAGGTGATGCAGTCCATGTTATGCAATCAGTGCTGTGCAATACGTGTGGACCAATGTATGTGGTGCGATCTTAACGATGCGAGCCATATTGTGCAATCTACGTGGTGCAATTATGTTATGCAAGCTTCGTGGAACAACTTGTGTGCTGCAGTATCTGGGGTGCAGTCTATGTTGTGTAGTGAACTTTGAAAACAAGTGGAATTATCAACTCCACTGTTCGCGCAATCATCCCACCCACCCACCCGTAACTTGGTTTGCAAAGCCCATGCGGCGGCGTTTGCGATAAGTGCTTGGTGTTGGCTGGTGCATCTCTGCGACCTCGCTAGCCTGCGCATGCTCGCGCGCACACTGGCCAGCTAGCCTGGCGCGACCGACGCGGCCGCGGTGGCGCTGACCGCTGGGCACTTTCCAGCGGTCACTTGAGTGCGAGTCGGTGGCGCGGTATCACGGCGACGTCGACAACGGTAGACACGATTATGTTAGTTGCGATGATGGCGACGACAAGGCCAATAACGGCGCATATGCAGTACAGTACAGTTGGGGCGGTATCAGCCCAAAGACTCGCACGCTAAGCTACTGCGATGAGCGACGCGTTGGCCACACTCACAGGTGAGTACATGGAAGCACACCCGATCTGACAAACCAAGCATTGAACAGGAAGAGGAGGAGGAGGAGAAAGGCAAAAGACCGACAGCGATATCACCTCTGCTCCGCAATCTTGACGCCGTCCTGCCATCGCATAGCGACGACGCCACGGGCGGCCTGAGTACAAGTGCGGCTTTCGGAGCCTGTACTGTTGATAAGCCGCTGTGTTGTGCAAGCCACTTGTTATCACGGAATTTCAAGAGAACTGCGGCCCATGAGTTGCCATTCCGGGGCCTGTGCAGGTGCTCATTCCAAGCTACCACTCGTTTGCAATGCTTCATGCTCCATCTTCCTCTCTGGCCCATAATGGTCGTAGCCTGCCTGTTCCTTCGCCGTACGTACTCAACTGGACCCTCATGGGCGCGCGGGCAGAGACGCATATGCTGATCAGGCCGATGACGATGACATTGTCCGGCGTCGATGATGAAAGTTTTGGGAGGAGTTCGACATGCGCTCGCAGCCGACGCGCGCGAGTGGCCCGCACGATATCACTTGACAAGGAGCGTGCCCCCCCAGCACGCGCGCACGGGCGTTCGAATGACTTCGATATGCGGCGCGGGAGGCCCGCTTGGCTGAATTTGATGAAACTGTTGAAACAAACCCATTGCTTTTATAAGAATTCGCAAGAGCGCGCAGACATTGTTTTGAATCCTGATGCTGCAAACCATGTGTTAGCACTCTGTTTCCGGGACGCTCGATTTTGACATTCTTACGGAACAAGATATGTTGGAAGGAATTCGGCATGCGCGCGCGACGTTGCGCGCGTGTGCACCTCGTCCCACTTGTCACAGTGCATTCTTACGACACCACGCGCGCAAGGACGTTCGAACGATTTCGGCATGCGTGCGCGAGAGGCACGTGTGGTATAATTTGGTGAACACGTTGAAAGCCCGATGGTTTCTTAAGAATTCGCAAAGGCGCGAGCGCAGACCTTTTTTGGCAACTCATGTTGCAAAACCAAGTCTTCAAACTATATTTTCGTGACGATTGATTTTGATATCCTTGCGCAACCCAAGGTTTTCGAGTGATTTCCGCATGCGCGCGCGAGGACGCGCGCGTGTGCACACGTCGTCACATTCTTTTTCAAAGAGTTCTTGGAAACTGCTGGTTTTCAAAACGAGTCCAGGCCCCCAGGCGGCAGGCTCCAGGAGGCCCCCAAGGAATCATACCTCAATAGGCCCCCGAAGAGGCCCCCGAGAGGCCCGCCAGATGCCCCAAGACCGTCCCCACGAGGCTTCCGAGAGGCCTCCTAAGAGATCCTCGCAGGCATCCAGTAGGCCCCTAATCTAAACCCAAGCACGGTGGCGGCATGGGCCGGAGTTTTGCTCTGCACGCGCGAAATGGGTACTCAAAGAATGGGTACAATGCCCAACAGCGGATCTTGTTCATTTTGAAAAGGGCTCGCTGTCCACGCCGCCGCGGCCTGTGTCCATTCGAGACAGGAGGCCGCCTGCCCAACAGCGGCCGCTGTTGGTTTGGGACAACATTTGCTGTTGGGCATTGTACCGATTCTTTCGGCACCCATTTCGGGCGTCCAAATTTGCTTCCGAGAGTGAAGAGGAACATGCGGGGGGAGCCCGGCTGATCTGGAATCGGCGATGCATCGCCGATAGATCGGCGACGGGCCCCCGCTAGCAAACACTCTCGCTCTTGGGCGGGGTGGGCTATCGGGCCCCTATCGGTGATCGGAGGGCGATTGGTTGTCGATGCATCGAGCGCTGGGCCAATCGCAGTCTGACGTTGCCCCTGAAACTTGTTCTAGCACATGTATATATATGTATATATATACATATATATATATATATGCACGTATTTGCGTTATCTAGATGTATGCATACATGCATGCGTGTCTGTCTGTCTGTCTCTGTTTGTTTGATGGTATGTATGTATGTATGTATGCATGCATGCATGCATGCATGTATGTATGTCTGTCTGTATGTATGTATGTATGTATGTATGTATGTATGTATGTATGATTGTATGTATGTATGTATGTATGTATGTATGTATGTATGCATGCATGCATGCATGCATGCATGTGTGATGTATGTATGTATGTATGTATGTATGTATGTATGTATGTATGTATGTATGTATGTATGTATGTATGTATGTATGTATGTCTGCATATTTGTATGTATGTGCGACCATATATAGATGTGTACATATGTGTATACATATATATGTACATATTAACGTCGCCGCGACATTTGTTCTCGACGCGCCCAAGTGGACGACGCCGACACCACGGCAACCCCGCGGCAAAACCTGCGTTCCGCGCCCCAGAGAGACGACGCCGGCGCCGCGGCAAACCAACGGCAAACTCACCGCGCCCGAGGCGGCGTTTGCCCTGGTGATCGCGGCGCCCAAACGGCGCGCCGACAGATGTATAGGTATAAATAGAAATATATTCATGTTTAAATCCCACCAGCCCTCTGGGCGTCGGTGGTTTAGGGCGTTTCCTCTTCCACCCCTCCCTCTTCCCCTTCGGGGAGGGGTTTACCCCTCCCCCTACTCCCTCCCCACTGACCTGGACGGGAGGGGTTTACCCCTCCCCCTGACCCTCCCCACTGACTGGCCTCAGGATAGCCCCAAGATGGTCCCAGGCAGCCCCGGTGGCGCCCCTGCCCCACAGGCATCGTGCCACTGCTGTTCCTCTGGTTTGTGCCGAAACTTTGACGTCACCGCCTTTTCTAGCTTCTGACTGCCGTAGACGGCCCACGAGGCCTCAAAGATCGGCCCAAGACAGCCCAAGAGGCTCCCAGGACGGCTCCCAAAACGGGCCAAGAGGGCCCCAAGACGGCACAAGAGGCCCCCCAAGAGGGTTCCAGAGGCTCCCAAGAGGCCCCAAGAGGGGGAATCCGGATTCACAGATCGGCCCTTCCCGCAAGATGGTTCCGAGACTGCCAGAAGGCCCCCAAGAGGCTCCCCAGAGGCCCGCATGACCCTCCCAAAGGGCCCGAAGATGCTCCCAAGAGACCCCGGCAGGCTCCAGAAATGCCGCCGCGGGCACGGAGACAAATTCCAACGATGTTACCGTGTTGGCCAGCGGAATGAACGAAGCGATCCGCCGCCCCACCGGGTACGGCGTGTGAGATCCCCGCCGCATGGCCTGCAAGGACACATTCCCCTCAGTCATCTTCCATACACGCTCCTCGTACCAATATCCTTCCACCGAGGCCTGGAAACCGGTCCCAGGGTTCTCCCCTCCCCGCGACCTGCTCATTCGGCTGGCCCGGGGGCCCCGGCTGCGGACTGGGCGTCCGCCAGTTGCGATTCAAACCTTAATTGGGCGCCTCGGGCGCCCCTTGCGCTCACTCCAGAGGCCCCCCATGGGCAGTCTGTGGAGCCTCTTGCAGCCCTCTCGGACTCATCTGACCAGTCCCCGGAGACCTCTGAGGCCGTCTCGGACCCATCCGAAGTCCTCTCCGAGCCATGCCGAGCCGAAAAACTCAGAGACGCCCAAAGCCTTTGTGCAACAAACAGAGCGAGGGGACGCTGTGCGGGCACGCCGTGCGGGCGCGCTGTACGGGCGCGCTATACGGGCGCGCTGTACGGGCGCTCTGTGCGGGTGCGCTGTGCGGGCGCGCTGTGCGCGCACGCTGTACGGGAGCGTTGTGCCGGCGCGTTGCGCGGGCGCACTGTGCGGGCTCACTGTGCGCGCGCGCGCTGATCTGGGGCACACCCCTTGCCTCGGCCTTCTCGGGCTTCCATTTGCGCCTCCTGGAGCTCTCTTGGAGCCTCGTGCGACACTCAATGGGCCTCCCGGGCCACGCTGAAATAGCTCCACGGGCTCTCGGGCCGTCCTGAAGGCCTCTCGGTCTCATCTTGGGCCGCCTGGCAGCCCTTTTGGCGCCCCGTTGTGCCGTCTTGGGCGCCCAGGGGGCCCCTGGAAGGCTTTCTGACGCCTACAACTAATTGGCGAAGCCTCCTCTCTACCTCTTTGTCTCCCTCTTCGGTTTCGCCTGCCGTTTTCGGCACTGCTGGGTATGCTTGTGGAAGACCGTTGTCGGGGGGCTTCTTGGGGCTTCCTTCGGGCCTTCTCGGACAATTGTTGGCTCTTCGGGGGGCCCTCTGGGGCTGTCTTGAACCCCCCCTCCCTTT